AAAAAAATTATCAAAATCTCCAGTGTACAAAAGTTCGATTAATTAAGGAATATTGACATAATTGCGTGTATATGTATCATAAAATACAATGTTTATCACTTTTTTAACTTCTTTATGCTTAATTCTGAAAAATAATTAGCGTTGTAATAAATTTAAAATTCGATAAAATTCATATCGGGCAATGTGACAACGGCGCCGCGGTTTATTAACACGAGGTACTAAGGCGTCCAGCAACCACCAATACGCAATTCAGTTGGTATCTGGATTCAACCGTGTCGGAGTGTTTTTTGCGTACCACTATTTCCTTTTCTTGAGGTGTTTTCCAGCGAGTGTGCTAAAATTGGATTCGAAGGTGTCGTGCGTACATCGAAAATGGTGGTGGACATTTTAAGCATATGTTGTAGTTTGTTTTGTACTTGTGCGTTTAAAAATTAGTGAATTTTGTTTTTGATAAGTACCTACCTAAATTATTTTTAATACGTGTCATTATTTAGACGACGTGAATCTTTGGGTACTTCAATTACATAATTTGATTAAATGCTAAGTTCCTGTTTTAAGAGATTTAAAATTACTAAAATTCCAGCTAAAATTTAAGCACAACAACTTCGTACTACAAAATCATTTTATTTATTTAAAAACTGGAAAACAATTGTCTTGAAATTTACTAAATGTTTCACAATAATAGTTGTTTACATTTTTTCCGTAGGACAAGTCTGCCGCGTGCACACGTGGTGTGCATCAGCAGGTTAAGCGCTGTTGTCGCGTTGTGATGAAACTCCCGAATATTAATACTCGATGTATTTTGAATACTGTTAATCTTACGTCCATTTAATATACAACTTTTTTGTTCATTTATGGTTACTATATCTCATGTTGAATTAATGGCAGACAAACTTCTTACACCCTGTATAATGTGATTGCTGAATTTTCACCAAAATTTATTTTAGCTACAGCTTGCGAAGTATTTGCAGGAATTAATTATTTCTTTTTGGTATACACTACGTACGATTGAAGATCAATAAACTCTTTTAAGTCAGAATCGCAAAATTTCAAGATCCCAGGACCCTACTGGAAAATGTCTATTCGTTTGTAACCCCTCTGGAAGTTTCAGTCTGTATTTTTTTAATATTTCGTACACTGAAGGTACATGAAACAGTTAGAAAAATCATGCATATGCTTTTTCTGACACTTTCCCTAACTTTCGAAATGACAATGAAATCTTGGTAGCACAATTTTTTAGTTAATTTTTATATAAACAAAAAAAGTATTACAGCTAAGATATTTTGGTATTTTTTTTATTAATAATATCCTAACTTTTTAATAAAAACTTTTGTCACATCGGAATAGTTACGCCCATATGTTTTTGTATTACTTGAGTATATTGAAAGAGAAAACATAAACTTGATATTTTCATATTTCAGTTATTTGCTACTACGACTTCTTACTGTTCTGTGTTATTTTAAGTGCCTTATTGTCTATTAGTGTAACATAAAGTTTTTCAATTGTTTTGTACAATTATACAGAGAAAGTTTTTTCGACATGATAAGTGAATAAAAAATGTTCTTATTATTACCCTCAAAACCTGATGGGAAAATTAAAAAATCGCCTAAATTTGGACCAAGAACTTTTTTAAAAGGTATTATACCGTACTAACCTACGTTGTAGCTTATGCCAGTTAATATGTACCCTTCTCATGAAATGCCCTTTATATCTTCAATAGCTTTTGAACTACTTATCAAAAATCGTAATGACTAATACTTCAAGAATAGCTCTAGGAAAAAACTTTGTTTTTTGTTTGTTTTGACGAGAGGAATAAGACCTGAAAATTTAACATCCATCTTTTCAACATAAATAAAAAAACATTTGAGGAATGTGCTAGCTATTTCCTAACAATTTTACTTTAACTGTGTTCTTAAGTTGTTTAGCATCTAAAATGTTAGAATATGAACTGAACCGTTGTTGTAGACGTCAATGAAGTTTTAGGGTTCATGTTGCTTATTCAAATATTTCAAATTGAAATTCTTCCTCCGATATTAATTTCAAAGTTCTTCATATTTTCTACCCTTCATTTGCATACTTCGCCTTAAAGAGAAAGTGATAATAGTACACAAATATTTCTTATTGTTGTTTATGTAAATACATATTATTCTGTTTAATAATTTCTAGAGATTGCTACCTAAGATCAACCATCTTAGGTCGAATTAAAAACAAAACGTGATTTCTCTCATTAAAGTAAAAAAACAATAACAAATAATAAACCTTTAAAATTCTATAGATACAATTAAAAGTTTAGTGTAAATTCGCATCTATTTCAATAAAATATGCTTAAATGGATGTATTGGACATTTGTATAATTACTAGACATTGGAAATTTTGTGGCGACAATCAAATGAATTAATAGTAGTAATCTATATTGTGCTAGTAAGCGGCAATTACTCGTTGTAGTAGCAGAAATAGGCTAAATCTGTGATCAAGCCGTGTGCCGCTCTATGCTCACGATACACAATGCTACTGACTGCCACAAAAACAGGTGCCATACACTCGGCCAAACAAAGCGTCAAACTGACGCACATACGCACAAACGACAATGAGATGCACGGTCAACGTCCCTCAGCAAAAAACCTGTTCACCCGCATGCCAGGCCGACAGAGTAGGCGTTAGGGTGTTGCTAGATACGTATCGAATAAATTGATCGATGCGAAGCTTCAGATCAGAGGCAAACATGTACATATTATTGTACAATGACCCGGATAGTGGGATTACTAAAATGTGAAGTAGTCGATACTTCGATTATTTTAGACATGCGCCTGTGACCTCGGTATATGCTGAATGGTCATTTTCGTTTCTGAAATGCATATTTACCAGAAAAGATAAGTGTTTCAGCTAGAAGTGGTTTAACTAATCTAGTGGAGGATAGCTTTTCTTTAATTAACTTTAAAGGTATAGCTAATTTAAATCAATTCTCATGTTCCTTGCTCTTTGATACTAAATACCTACGTATGCTAGAGAAAACAAACTAGTATTGCCATTTATATATATTGAAAATGATGTGTTATATCTAAATACAACTATAGACGAAAAACATCCCTGACATATCTAAATCATCTAAACTTTCAAGCAAATCTATTTTAGTTTTGTTCTCAACTTTTGCAAAGATCACGCAAAATCACCTAAAATTAACTTTTTTGCATTTTAAGGAGTGCTTTTTTAAGTTGTCTCCTTTTTAAATGGAAATAACGTTAGATCTCATCTATCGTGCTAAATTGCCTGATGGTCTTCGTTATGTGAGAGCATGAGGATATTTCTTAGAAATATCTTAGAGATATAGGATATTTCTTAGAAAAATTTTTAATGGTTTCAACTTTACAAGTATGTGTTTTATTCACTAGGAGCAATTAAATGAATCATTTATAATGTTTTAAATAATTGTTAATTATTAGTCTGAAGCTATGAAGTTGGATGTTTAAAATATTTCTAGGTAGGTATTTGGTATGAAAGAGAATTATACAGGGTGATTCACAACTTATCCAAAAAAGATTGGGAATAGATGCGTCATGACTCAATATCGTAAAAATATGTTTGTAAAGTCTCTATAGTTTCTGAGAAAAAAATTATTGAACTTGTAAGTATTTACAACCCTTACATCGCTAGGCTCTCTCTCGACGTGGTGATTCCGAATACTGATCCGATTTTATGATCCGATTTTAGTATCATCGTTTTTTGTGATAGTGTTTACATTAGTTTTTTAAGTGTCAAAAATGCCTTACGTGTAGTGACGGATATCGTTTTATTTTAGGTGAAACTAGACAACATTTGTGTTATGGCGAAGCAAGACAACTTTTGTGTTAGTTCGTAGAAACTGGGTATGACGGGCCCAAATGTGATGTATGTCAAATTATTTTATTAATTAAAACCACAAATTATTAATTAATAATAACAATAGCAGTGGAATTTGCTAATAAAATAGGTGTTATAAAATTTTATTTATTTCTTTCCATGGGGAATAAATTCTTTAAATTTTTTGTCTGCTCATTTTTTATACACTTTGCCGCCGTGTCAATTGCGTAAGGATCAGTTCCATCGTCGTGCAGAAGTGTATTTTTAAATAATTTTCGAACTGACCTTTGTGTTTTTTTTTATAAAATTATATTGTATAAAATTGTGAAAGTTCCTTGTACATTCAAATTTTTTTTTTTTGATAATATCCATAGGAAGCTTCATAGAATTAAGTTGAATTTGCTCAATACGTTTAAACTAGAGTAAACATGCAGGAGCTAATAATAAAAATCATATACAGTCCGTACGATATTTTTTGTTGAGATAGAATTCCAAGAAAGGGATAGGCCAATAAAGTTCTGTTATTGGAGCTACTGTAACAATTTACATGCGCCAGAGGCGTGCCATGAAATTTTCCGCCAATGTCTTTCTAACTCCGGTGTCGAATGCGGTTAATTCCAAAAAAGTGTCGCAGGGATCTTCTTGGATTTCTATCTTAACATATATCGTAAGGACTGTACTTAAATTTAAAGCCTTCTTTTTATTTTTGTAACATTTCAGACATCTAATTCACCCGCCATTAGTTAGGTTTTGTTTAAATTTGTAAAAGTAAGCCTTTATTCGGTCACTGTACAAAGTGTCCTCCATTTCTGTTATTGAGATGCTGATTAAATACTTTCATTTAAAAAAATCGTAGACCCTTAGGAAAAATTTTATTTTGGTTTTCTGTTTATTTTTGTTTAATACAAGAGAAATTACTTTTTAAAATTTGTCGCGATATTGTTGTTAAAGTATTTAAATATTATTTCAATATTTTTCTCATATTAAAAAAGTCTATATATTCACTTAAACCTTCAAAAGCACTTTCTGCAACTGATTACATTATAATTAGGGGTTACATTATTTTCCGATTTTCTCCGAGAGTTACATCTGTGATCCAGATTAATCGACCGTAAAACGGGAAGGAATCGATAAAGTCGGGCAAGAAGAGTTAATTTACTTACCAAGGAGTGTTGCACGTCGACGTCAGGGTGAGATATCTCACGCCGACATGATAGAGCGTCCTCAGGACGGCTAAGCTCCCGGCTAAAGAATGTCCGCCCTCGACTCCAATAAGCGAGCAAAGTTGATGCCTTTTGTATGCGTCCTTAATGTCTGAAAAAGAAACAAGAGTGTAGTTCTGAAATGGGCAAGGCGCAAAATGAGTGCGGGTTGCCTTCGGGACGGATCATACATTAGCTTCATCGCCTGAAAGGCCGGATCCTGGGAAATTTGTGGGATTCGGCGGTTTTCATTTATTCACGTTTTTGAGGAGTGCACGAGATGTGAGAGTAATTGGAGCTGTCGCGTTCTTGGAGGAGTTTGCAGGGCGTTACTTTGTCTTAGTTTTGCGAATCTTTCTAAATCCCATTTGTTACGTCGCCTTGGCCAGACTGCCGACTGGATCAAGTGGATTTGGAAAAGAAAAAAATTGGTTCTACGTACGAGAAAGCAGTAACCCATGTCGATGGTATGTAAAAAAAATAAGGACAAACTGCATTTCGTGAAATGAATCCGCTGAATCTCAACCTTTTTTGGAACAAGGAATATAATACTGATCAAGTAACACAAGAATTATTCCTTGTGTAAACACAGGCTATTATCATAAAGCGGTGGTTTAGTCCAATAAGAGTTTGAACGTAAAAAAAATATTACTAGTATACATTTTATTGCACTTTGTCAGTGAAGGGTATGTAGAATGATAATAGCAAAAAACAAACTCGAAAGAGAAGATGTTAAGCTGGCAAATTGCAAACAATGGCAAAATAGTTTTTTCATTTTTTTTACTGCCCGTGAAAATCTAGACAACATATCCGGAAATTAGTTATTTTATGTTGTAGGCAATTAAATTATCTACAATTTAAGGCACCTAAAGTCATATTTCACCAATTTGTTTACTGTAAAATAAAGGTCCAATGCGGAAAAATCAGTTTTCAAAAATTGAGCATTATTGTTGCAAAAAGCGATGGATGTTGATGAGATTTATGAAAAAAGACGGTCATTTCAATGACCAACACGTGTGCCAAAGGCCGATTAGACTGACCGCGAAATTGTTGCTCCAGATTAATTAATATCGTTCGTTTGCAACTAATTGTTTAATTCACAGTCACACAAAAAAAAGTTGTCTGTACTTTTCATGCGACATATACAAGTATTATCCGTAGTATTTTTGCCTCATGATCACGAATTGAGCTATCACATCACAGGAATTTCCTAACCTCAAAACACAAATTGATTAAATTTTTAAAAACGAATTTTGCAAAATTGACTTCGGATTCGTGATCAGCGACCCCGAAAACCTCCGTATACCAAATATGGCGCGAATCTGTTATTTTTTGAAAATTCATGATATCTGACCTTAATTGACCTGTTTTTTTGAGGTTAGAAAAAGAACCATCAATTTTGACCGCCGATTCACGTTCGGCGAGGTCTTAACCATATAAATGAACAGTTGAATATATTGAGATGAAATCAAATTATTGATAGTTATTTATAAAAGTTAAATTAAAATTCTACTTGAATAAGACACGGTGAAGAGAAAGGCTGAAATAATTGTTGTAAAACTTAGAAATATATTTGATTAAAAAAATAATTTGTTAGTATTAAATAGGTTATTGTGAATTATTATCAGAGAGTCGTATTACTAGAGCAGAATCAATTTCAAAGATTTAAGTAAGTATAAAAAACATCATTTTGGTCAAATAGCGTACATGACAAAGGTATTATTGGAAAAACATAATCAAAATTAATTACTAGTAGCAAGTAACATATATCAAACGAAAGCTAAAATATTATAGTTTTATTTAATAGTAGTAATATGAGTTAGAAAAATAAATATTAGGACATATTAATGTCTAAAGTAAAAATTTATATATCAATAGGATGATAATGTCAGTGAAATGTCAAAAATAAAGTTGGATCCACAAGTCATAAAATATTACATATGAAAGTCAAATATAAATATAGAAGTAAGGAATATTTTGAAATATAAGTTAAAATTTTTGTAAATAAACTAGAATATGATTGTAAAACTGTAAAGTATAAAGTGAAGTGAAGTGGAAAAAGAAAACGGCATTTAAAAGAACAGGCATATATGTGAAAAGGCCCTAACAAGGGAAAAAATCAAGAGAGTAGGAAAAATAAAAATTTAGAAGATTATTGATTAGTTACGAGAATTTTGACAGAGAGAGGTGTTAAAAGAAGAAAAGTGGGAAAAAAACAGATAAATAGAAATAAGTATAGTGGAAAAGAGTAAGAAAATTAAAGTTAGTCAACCAGTAGAAAGAAAATTTAAAGTTGAGCCAAGAAAAGGACTCAAAAGTCCAGTCGCTTAAAGATGACTCCAAGAAGATTCCAGGAACGAGATTCAAAACGAATAAAATAAGCGGCAGGTTCCGGCTCTCCAGCAATATCAAGAAAGACGAGGATTCCAGCAGCAGGTTCCGGAAATCCATTAACAGCAGAAAGACGAGGATTCCAAGACAATATCCAGGCCGAGTACAAGAGGGAAGTCAGTTCGAAAATTAAAATATCAACAAGACATACAGAGAAGTAACTTTGTGCACAAAGTATTACAAAATCGTATAAGAAACCGCTAGCTAGCAAAAGAGATTGAAAAATACAATCTAAAAAGTCATAGAAAAATCTTTAGAATAATACTGAAATTCAAGTATTACTCGTATTTCTTGAAAATAAATTCGATATCAACACAAAATCTTCATTCCAGATTGATATTAAATAAATTTAATTTCACTATTTTAATAATTATAAAAATGTGGCCATTTTAAAATTTGACAGATATTAAGATTTGAAGTAAGCTCAGTAACACATTGAGAAATAAATTTTAAGATCAAAATTTATCGCTTAAGCTATAGGCAATACATTATAATAAATCGAATTGAATACAATTATATAAAATATTTCTCAAAGTATTATAAAAGTGCTATAGGATAATTCCAAATATTTCTTAAATTGTGTCTGACATTTCACAGTTATTGGCGCAAACACAAATACATATAACATGACCATATCCATAACAATATAAGTATATCTATTTTTCCTAGGATTTTTTCGTGAATTTTTGCTATTTTTGGCCTGTTTTTCGAGGTTAGGAAATTCCTGTGATTCTGATATTGGATTCGTGATCAGGAGGCAAAAATACTACAGATAACATATGTCGCATGAAAAGTACAGGCAACTTTTTTTTTGTGTGGCTGTGTTACTATACGTTAATTTTAGACGTTAATATCGTAGGTAAAGATTCTAATTAATTCGAAGAAACGTATCGAAAGAGAACAATTTCAAAAAGATGAAATTAACTTGCTCTTTACAACTTTACAACAATGTTATAAATAAAATGTCCCAGGGTCAAAGCCGCTCGGGAATTCGCTCTTTTTGCATTAAATAGAGCTTATTTTTACCGTAATTTAGAAAAAGAAATCTTTGTTTCCAAGATAACTTGTTTTTATAACGTTAATTGTTAATCTTACGATGAGATCAAAACAGATTATTTCCAAATGAACTTGAATCGAATACACCTATCAATTCTAACTAACAAGTAAATAAGAACAACCATTAAATTTTGAAAAGTTGTAACTTGCCATCGGACCGTTAAGTTTTAATTACTACTAATTAAGAAAATGGTAAATAGTGCATACACCTGCAAGTCTATTATAGGCACTCCATTTTTATATTATTACAACGTCTCCCTTACTGACTTGTGCATCTGCGGCGTAATTTAATGCAGCCCCGATAATATCGCTGGCGATTCATCTGGAAGAACATCATTATCAGCAACAGCTAGCACGGCAGAGACAGGACAGGAAATTGTTTCTGTAATCTGGATGCCACTTTATCATCTTTAGGTTGGTCGATAGTGTCAGACAATTAAAAAACGTGACACGGTGTCGTCCTGTTTGATAAGTCAATTGAATTTACATTACTATCAGATTGAATATGCATAGGTTTAATAAGCAAAAAGTTTTATTTTACTGAGCATATTGCTTAGGTACTAAAAATGACAACTGATTTAAAAGAAATGAAGAAGATATAGAATAATAAACTAATTTAAATAGAAAAGATAATGCTATACGATCTCTCTTAAACTGAGGAGTATCTAATTGAAATAAAATTTAATAATCATTATTATATAATTAAAAAATATATCATAAATTAAAAAAAATCTTTATACGGATCAAATAGAGTGATTCAGTCAAAATGTCATTAATTTTAAAGGAAGATAGGAAAAAATGAGTAGAATAGAATTAATGCTGAAAAATTAGTTTCAAATAATTATTATTCTTGACCGCTGATCTACAAAGGTTTATCGAGAGTGAATCTTGACCTACCGTATTCGGTCACTAACCTAGCTTTTATTGTGTTTTTAATAGTGAACGACAAACACAGACCTTTTTGCCTAGACACATGAATAGAGCTGTCAGAGGGAGCCGCAATTCAAGAGTGTTGGCTTATAGACTTAAATGAAAATAGATCATTCATTTAAGTAAAGGAAAAGTTAAGTATTTTCTCAAATTTTATTTTACTGTTAGAAACAATGACACAATTTTCTGCATACGAACAAATTTAATTTATTTATCTTATTTAAAATTCCGCTCCGCCATAATAAGCATTTACGACTACGTGAGAAATGTTACGTTTCATATTTTGAAAGGCTATTCTTGTGATTGCGACATAAAGATTTCAGTTATAAAAGACCTAACTTTTAGCTGAAACACCTGCGAAACCCCGTTCACGTATTCTTTTATTCGCGACAATGAAAGGCCGATGATTTGGTGAAGTACCTTCCATAGAGCGATATATTTCCTTCGGGTGTGATTTCTGCATTAAATGAGACGTATGAATAAGGTGGGTTGCAGCAATTTTACGACTTTTAACGTTATATATCCAAGATCTGTGCAGTTTAGAGCGACGTATCGTAAAGATAACTTCCGAATTAAAGGGGCTCATAAACGGTGAGACCTGGGGCTTATTTTAATTTATTAACTTTTGGAATTTACATAATTTTATATACCTTGCATTAAGCAAATAGGTTAGTGCGCCAAGCTAGCGACTGTGGAATTTAGGAGAAGAAGGGAACGTTGAAATATTAGAAAGTAACCACCTGGAAAACGTAAAATATAACTGTTATTTGTTAAGTTAGGATTGGCCACAAATGAATACTAATTACTTCCAATGTTGCCTTTCTATAAAGCGGTTTCATATAAGATACTAGATACATTAAAAATAAGCTGTTATTTTACCCAAGTTTGTTCTAATCTATCTTATTTACTCTTCCCGAATTCCCTACGGTTCTTGAAATCAGGGTTTAAAATTACCAGGTCATATGGGTAGTTGCGAAAGAGTAAATTACATTGCTGCTACTAGAGGGCTTAAAAAAATTTGGTTTATTTTAATGAAATCGTAATGACAGTTGTTAGTGTGTGTGTTAAACTTTATATGGTATGTAAGATGTGTGCGTGTCTTTAGCTAGTAAGTTGTAGATAGTTTTTATCGAATTATAAAAGGTCGTGTATTGTAGATATTAGATTTGCTGTAGCCCGATGAACAATATTTCATGAATTTAAAGAAGAAAGAATTCAAAAAGCAGTGCTGTTAAATAGCCTCGACGAAGACGCTTATAATTTAGCAGCAGATTTGTGTGTTCCCAAGTTCCCGAAAAGAAATCTTACGCAGTACTCATTCAAAGTTTCGACAAATATTTCATCAAGCCAACATCGATATATTTGGAATGTTACAAATTTTATCAAGCTCCGAAGAACGTGCATTAAATAGTAGCGCAATGGGCAGCTATAGTAAAAAACCTGGGAGCAAAATGTAAATTTGGACAGGCGTGAGATCAAATCCTCATATTTCTGGTTTCGACAAAGGTGAAATCCTAGATAATTTTTTTGAATTAGAAGAAAGTGTCACACTGGACAGGCCGATCCACGTGGCCAGGAAAATGGAAGTCGGCAGCCATCATGAATCGTCGCACAAGGTGAAAACAGAGCTATCTACTTCCTTATTTCATGTGACAGAAGGTCAACGAAGGGGTAGAAGAGGAGCGTCTGGTGACAATTGGCAGCAGCGTCAGGTCATCTCAAGCCGTAGTAGGTCAAATGAAACTCCGATGCGTTCTGTCAGGCGCAGCTTTTAAGAGGACAAGGTCGTCGGTGACAACAGTGTAATTATTAAAGCTGCTCAATGTGACCACCGCCTTGTGCAATTCATATCTCAATCCTCTGTTGAAGCTCTCGTTCCCAGTTGTTGGTCTCCATATTGTTTTTCACCTCATCAAACGCATATGAACTTCGCAATGGATCCCTGCAATTAGGCTTTCCCACTGAATCTTCCCACATGAAAGAGTCCAATGGGTTGAGATCCGGAGATCGCGGTGGCTAAGCCATGGGAACACCACGATCTATCCATCGATTGGTATATTTTTCATTGAGGAAATTAGTGACACTTCTTCCATAATAAGACACAGCAGTATAATGTAAAAAGAAACATCTAATGTGAAGGGGAATGTCCTGAAGTAGTAGAGGTGGATCGTTCTCGAAAAAAGCTTGGTACATCTCGCTGTTCAAATTTCCGTCGAAGAAATGTGGTCCCATAACTTTATTATTAATTATTCCAGCTCAGATGTTTATGGAGAATCTTCTCCGAAAATGGGTTTCTCAAATAGCATGAGAATTTGCCCACAAATTATCGTTGTGGAAACTGTTGTTTCCATCTCTTATAAATGTAGCTTTATCACATAAAGAGTATCTAGCTAGATGATTGCTCCACCATTCACAATACGCACTCTTTGAGGAAGATCCACGGAGAAAAGTTCTTACACCGACTGGTAATGATAGGGATGCAGTCCGTTTTCTTGTAAAGTGCCTTGCACTTTGTCCAGTAAGTATAGAAATTATTCTTCTACTAGTAGTACCAAGATCATTTTCAACATGCGCAAGCACTCCTGCAGCATTGTTTCTTCGCATAACTTCTCTTTCACGAGTCGGTTTGAGGAACGAACCTGTTAGTCGAAGAGTAGTGAAGGTTCTATTGAGCGTTTGCTTGTCTGGAAAACGGCGGTTTGGATATCGTCGTTGATATTCATACACGAAAATCATGTTCACGTATTCTTCATTTGAATAAATTAAGGCATGATTTTAACACAAATAACACAAAAGATAGAAAAGAACCAACTGTCAATGATGGCAATTAACGAACATTTTTTTTCTAATCCCAACCAAATTATTACCAAGCCCTCTAGTTGCAACAGTGTAATTTACTCTTTAGCACTACCCATACGATCTGGCAACTTTAATCCCCGATATTTCAAGAACCATTGGGAATTCGGGAAAAGTGAATGGAATCATTTTTGCTTAGAATTAATCATAGCATCCATATACGAAGTATCTCGGATATCTCGGCGGCCACACTGTGTAAATTAAATAAAAGACATATTTCAGATTTACGGCAGCGCCAGACAAAATAAGTAGCTCATACATTTCAGTCATATTCTTCCAGTAAACATGCATCTCAGTGCTATTACCTTCCGACGATGTGCACAAAGTTAATCGGGGATGATATTGCTCGGTGAGTCTCCTGATGACATCGATCTGTTCCAGAGTTAGCTGTACGGCGTCTTTATACTGGGACTCGCAGGGAACGTACGCGGCCCAAAACTGGAACAAACAAAACTGTTAGTTTAGAGAACGAAGCATTAAAATATTTAGAGTGATATCGGATCTACTGAAATAATTCAATCGTGGGTGATGTTTCATTTTGAATGTAGCGATAAATAGGGCGAAACGGCCCATGATTATTTGTGGAACACTACTGCTTCATTCAAACGTGATAAAATAGTAATTTGTGTAGCAATAGCGCGAAGGAAATAGCACTTGTAACTCAAATGGTTATCCACAGAGGCCATTGATCTCATGAGGTGGACAATTTTGCACAAAACCACATTACTTCTGAAAGTAAAAACTATTCTGATTTTAGTTTAGGTTATTTTATCTACTTGTGAGAGATGAGAATCACAAAAAGCATTTACTTTACTATTTGATTGTATTTTGTGCTACTTTGGACCTTATTTATTTGCAAAAATAGAGGAAACATGGAAGAGAGATATCATCAGTCAATTGCGTTGAAATATGAAAAAATGTGAGGTATAAAAATTGACAAACAAATAACAAAGATCAAATAAATATTGCAAATACATATGTTTTTAAATCTTTAAATTGTTCATATATTATCATATCTTCAATTTCAAAAAAATCTCTAATAGTTTTTTGAATACTCTCTATTGAAATATCAATTGAGTTACAGTCACCATTGTCAGACTTGCCCAATAATCAACATAATTGTGAAAACTTAATGATTTATAATGTTTTTATTTGTCTTTCTATAATTACATATTATTTGCTGTTTACCAAAATAATTTTTTCTTGTTCAATACAATTTAAATGATTTTTTATTTGTGTATTTTTTCTTTGTGGTTTAAAAATAATTTTCGTATGTTGAATTACATGTTCCTTCTCATCGAAAAGGTACATGTTTCAATTTATAATTTTTTTAATAAGTCGTTACCACTTACGCCTAATTCCTCCATTCCGTTTACTTCAGATTCATGTACCAAATTTTCCGAGTAAAAATCACACGGATTATAATGTGCTGAACTTGGAGGCTATGATATTGGTCAATTGCCACCTATCCTATGTATCTCGAATATGAATGTTACCATTAATCTTAGTATGTCGTTTATCCTATTTATTTTAGTTATATGTTGTTTATGTATATTTGTATAACAGTTAGTTGATTGCTATCATTATGTGTATTGTTATTTACCACTTTCTTTTTCTTTGGACGCGTGTAAACACTTTTATGTGTATGTAACACTAGCTTTTATAAATATAAAAAACATAAATATAAAATATCCACCTGGTAATAAATTAATTATTTAAATAATCCCGCTCTACATGTCTAAAATGAAATGTAGTACCATCATATAAAAACTACATGAATTGTTTTAATTTTTTTTTTACATCGTCAAGTAGTTTAGACAAGTTTTTTTGCAAAAGAATGCAGATAATCTAAGCAACCCATTCAAGAGTTTTTTTGACAAAATAAAATCGCATACGAGCTGGAGGCTGAAATCTCACAGGAAATTGCGATGCTATCGCAGCATTTTGCTAACATTCCCCTTATATTAAATTATGTCAATTAATTCATGTGTACTGTAAGTATGGATAATTTTAAACACCACTTTTATGGACGTCGCATCGTGCGCAAAAGAAAAAAAACACGATTAATTTTGCTGTTTTAGAAAATTTGAGATATTTGTTGAGTTTAAGTAGGATTAAACGGAAAAACCCAATTTAAGAAACACCCTGTATATTCTCAAATATCCCTTCAGCAAAGTTTGTTCATATGAAAGAATATTATTCTTATTTCCTTCGGCGCTTCTGTAGACATCAAAATCAATAACCAACAATGTTTTTTTTTAATTTTATGAATCCTTCTTCAACGAGACAACCATTTTTTGCTAGTAATACATTCCCATTAATCGGGATATTCTCCGACATTATTCATTAAGCAGTTTACATGAGGTTCGACAAAAATGTGAGAGGATTCGCTGGTGCTCAATCTCCAGCTAGACGTATAAATCAACCCCAGGACGGCTGTACGTAGGTAGCAATGGCGAAATGATAGGTTTAAATAATCATTCCGAACAAGTAATGAATTTTCCGTAATCACATGCTTGTCAGGAGGCAAACAATAGTATCACGAGCTATAAATTTCAGTCGTGTCGCTTTTTTAGATTAGGCATAGGCGAGTTATCTTCATTAAATTAGTGCTGATAAATCTACAATTTAATGCAAATCGTTGTTTCACTGCAGCAGCTTTTGATATCATTGAATAGGAATACCAGGTCTGTTAAAAAAATAATCGAACATTTTGAATTAATGGAGATATTTAGTGATATACCTCCTCTGTATCCACATATGTGGATTTTTGATATCTCATTTAGTTTTCGTGATATTGTTATTTGAGTGCAACGTGTTTAAGTGTTAGTAACGATGAAACATTCATTCAAAGGATCATAACGAGAGACGAAAGCTGGGTTGACAACTACGACATTGACACAAAGGATCTCCACGTCCCAAGAAAGCACGTCAGTCTCGATCCAATCTCAAAGTGATGCTCACTGTTTTTTCGACTTTAATGGAATTGTGCATTTAGAATTCTCACCTCAAGGTGGAACAGTGAACTGTGTGTATTATAAAGACGTTTTACAACGGTTACGTGAACAAATTCGCAAAAAGAAACAGAAGAGTTGTGGTGGGACAACTCATTATTGCATCAGGACAATACACTCGCACACTCAGCTTTGTCATTTTGTAAGTTTTGTGCCAAAAATCAGATCACCCTCCTGACTCGCCAGACCTGGCACCTTGCGATTTTTTAATATTTCCGCAATTAAAATCAGTGTTGAAATGACGCCGTTTGCAGACTATTGATGACATCAAAGCAAATTCGTCGCTGACTTTAAATGAAGCTATCCACTACTGTTTCACAAAATAGAAACACCACTGGGAAAAGACTGTGAATAAGGGAGAGTAGTACTTTGAAGGAGATAAGGCCCAATAATGTATAAAATTGACAATAAAGTTTAAAAAAATAAAGTTGTAAGTTAAAATAACAGCATTATCAGCGTGTCAAAATATGTTGTATAGAATAATCTGGCAGATAACGATTATTATTTTGTTATTTATTTGTTTGTTTTGTTTGGCTATCTATATGGAAGCAAATATGATTGTCAAAATCCTTATATACAAACAAGAACTGTGACGATAATTCAGTGCAATAATATTTTTCTTATAAATTAATAATAGAATGATCAGAAAAAGCCGATTCCATGGGGAAATGACATTCTACACAGAGTGTTTAAAATATAAAAAGAAATAAAGTAGAGAGAGTACTCCACAAAAACTAAGAAAAAACTTCATACTTATTAACTTATGTTATAAAACACTTTTTCGTGTCGTTTTCGTTAAAAAAATCTGTTTCTGTTGATCTTCCAAATGGACTGGCCTAATCAACTAAAATTTGGTACAGAATATTGTCTAATAAACCTACAAAATCTGAATATAGCGATGATAAACGACATAAATAAAGATGACAATACGTCGTCTTTTTTGAGCAGTACTTCTACGCCACTAAAATTGTCGCAAAACTAGTAGCATTCTTGAAAGAGCTAAGCAAATTGTATAGAACAAGTAGTCTTATCTTTTTTTATTTCGATAGGACACCATTTTTGGCAAAATTACGAAATGTAATAATAAAACCTTCTTTAACGGTATGCATATGACTAAAGATCAGGGAGAGGCAGTAGCGACTCATTAGGTGAGGTAAGTGACGCACCGCTTCACCTAAAATTTCCGTTTGGTTGTGCAATTTAAAATTATTTTTAACTTTATATACATTTTATAATTTAGATATAATTCTACAGGGTGAGTCAGTTTTTTGTAGTAGGATTTTAACAGTTGATAGATAATCATTTTTTAATAAGAAAAGATCCTATAAACGTAGGTCTTAGAACGCTTCGTTTGTGAGATATAGGGTGTTGTAAACAAACTTTTTTTTAAGAATTTTTCTTAATATCTCTAAAAGGCCAACATATATTGAACTGAAATTTGCTATTAATAACACATTTGTTATGGTGAATAAAACAAATATATATGTTATCCATTCCACACACCAGTGACGTGCCTGAGGTGGGTTACTGCCCCTTTTAAAAAAATAATTCGTACGCCCTTGGATTTTTCTGGAAAATAACATCATTTCTAATTTTTTTAATCAATTCTGAACGAAACAGCTCTCTTTCAATTTTTTATAAAATGAACGGTTTTTGGTTAAATTCATTTGGCATGAAACTGTTCCAACGATATTGGTAATACATTTGTAATAAGAAAAATATGATGTACCCTGAAAATCAACAAAAACGATTAAATGTCATAACGTTGACATAAGAACGCAAACATTGTGTAACGTGTGTGTCAATTAGATCTTTTTTTAAGTTCTGTGTTTATTTTTTCATGCCAAATTTCAGTTTAATATCTGTTGGTCTTTTGGAGATATTAAGAAAAATTCTTACAAATGTTTGTTTTCTACACCCTATATCTCACAAACGAAACGTTTTAAGACCTATGTTTATAGAAACTTTTCTTATTAAACATGATTCTCTATCAACTGTTATTATTATTCATTCGTTTTTGTTAATTTTCAGTGCGCATCATATTTTTCTTATTAATTCACAAATGTATTAGGTACCAATATCGTTGGAACAGTTTCATGCCAAATGAATTTAACCAAAAACCGTCAATTTTATAAAAAATTGAAAGAAAGAGATCTGTTTTGTTCAGAATTGATAAAAAAATTTAGAAATGAAAAATTCACGGGCGCACGAATTATTTTTTTAAAGGGGGCAGTAACCCACCTCAGGCACGTCACTGTGGGTGAAATGAATAACAGATATCTTTATTTTATTCACCATAACTAATGTGTTATTAATACCAAATTTCAGTTCAATATATGTTTGGTTTTTTAAAGATATTAAGAAAAATTCTTAGAAAAAGTTTGTTTTGAACCCCCTATATCTCACAAACAAAGCGTTCTAAGATCTACATTTATAGGGACTTTTCTTATTAAAAAATGAATCTCTATCAACTGTTAAAGTCCTACTACAAAAAACTGACTCACCCTGTATATAGAAAATATATTATGTTTAATTGTTTAATACGCAGAAATAAACAGAATAGTTGTGCGGTGAACGCCTTCTAAAATAACATTGCCTTTGTTGAGCGCGAGCACCGACCTCGTATCATACAACGTATAGTATACACAAGTGACGCAGATGGAAATCAGTCTGTATGCCGCTTCTCTTCGAAGCGCTGTTTACAGAGCGGTTGTCATAGCAACGAGGCGGCCAACATGGGAGTAAACTACGGCGTGTGGGATATTAAAGCAGCATTGTCATCGCCCATCGTCTGCCTTTAAACAGTATATTTATACGATACGAGTCGCCCAGTGCACGATTTAACGGTTCTTAGTTAATATTTGTTTTGTATAATAATTGTAGAAATGTTTCCTATGTATGATCCAGTATGTATTTTATTGGAAACGGCATTTTCCTGATAGAGAATTGAGGACAAAAAGGATTTTTTAAATTTGAAAGTGGGAGACACACGTTTGGCTGGAAGACAGGTTAAGAGGACCTGTTAGTATTAACAGTATACAATACAACAATCTCATCTAATCAATTAAATGGCCCTGCATATCTATATATTTAAAATGTATAGATACGCATAATGACATTACTACACTGGATGTTAAGCGTGACTTGTGATTTATACACGATTTGTGGTTCATGTATTTGAAAGTTCTACAATAGGGAAATAGAAGAAGCAAAACTAGTAGACTACTGGAGGAATGAATGAATTAATGAATCTGTAACGAATATTTTAGATAAGTGTTATCAAAAAAATAATATCAATAATGTGAAGGAAACAATTGCTTACCTTATTGTCATTTAGATTAAGACGTTTACAG